AGTGGGCCCAAACGCTGCGCGCTCGCCGGCGCAAGCAGGCGTCACACTTTCGTAATGTTTATCAGTTTGGGTCCGAGAAAGGCCTGGGGCCCCTGTGACCCGCGTAGCTGATTTCGATAGTGGGACTCTTTAACTGGCTGTGTTCCTCAAGTGCACTCTGGGCAGCACTACTTTAAGCCGAAGCCGGTTGTGTATTATCTCATTTGCGCATAAGTTCTGACACGAACAACACCTCCGCCTTTATTTTTCTGTCCGTCTCGTCAACACATTGCACTTACTTGGTTTCATTGTTTGTGGCAATATTTGCAAATTGTTCACGCTGCGGGAAGGCCTTGCACTGTTCCAAGCGAATGTGTTTGGGAAGAAGTGATGCTGGCAGTGCGAGGAGGTCGGACTCGTCATCTTCGCGGGATTGTTGTTTGTGAAGTTCTTATTGTTGATTTTCTGCGGTCTTAGCGGTTCTTCGTCATCCAATTCTGAAGATTATAGAGAAAGGGTGGTGGAGTGTGCTGTAAGTGGCAATATGGTGCATAAAGTGATAAGGCCTATAGTCAGAGCTTACCCAGGTAATAATAATAATTTGTATATTTAAGGCCATGAATGACGGAGAGGATGCGCACGTGGGTCTGAGGGCTCAGGTGACGAACTAACTTGCACTCAGTTTGCCCATCGGACGCAGTGGATGTGCAATTGCAATGCGGCGGCGTGCTGCTCTTTAATAAAAGCCGGTGGTCTTATAGTCATTTCTAGGGAGAATAATAAGGCCATTAGTTAGGGAGGTTTTTCCAGTCGGCATTTAATGTGGTGTTTCGAAGCCCGCAGATGTCAATGCGTATCGGAGTAGAGTAGTTGACAACCGATATAATTATATGACATTTTCATTAGTTTTCAAAGTCAACGCGTATTGCTCTAAATACACGTAAACAAAGTGAACCAAAACACGCCAGGGCTAGTGTATGAGGTTCCTTTCATTAGTTTTCCGGACAATTCTCCATAACAGATTGATGGTGCTTTAGGGAGCCCACTTTTTAATACAAATTTCCGTGGTTGACTGGATTTGTCCTGGAGTCAACTCAGGTGGATTTTGAATTAAGGCCCTTTTTGTATCGTTTTCACAGCCTCATAGCCCCGGCTTTCTGCAATCACTTAGTTCACCTTATCTAGAAATCAGGCCAGCCTTTACGGGAAACTTCATAACCACGGATGAACGTTCACGTCGTTTCTAAAGGTTAAAAGTGTCTGAGTTTGAGTTGCATGCTCATTTTGCATTAATAATTATATCGGGCTTAGGTATTATATAGTAAACAAATTTATACATTAGTTACAAACAATACCAAGGAATTTAAGCTTAGGTTGAAAGCTAGTCTTCGCTTAATAAGCCATAATGGAAGAGTTTGAGTAAGCCGATCTTTCTGCACGCTTTCAAATTTAGTGTGTGGTTTGGGCACAAGGTTTGCCGTTTCACGTGATTTTCAACGATGGGTCCCCACCATCACGTTAGTGGCGGCTTAAAGCAAACAAATAAAAAACACAAAGGAGAAAAAAAACGTCTTAATTCGCAAAAGTTTACACTCCGCTCTCAGAAGGTCGATGCCCCTAAGTCTAAAAAGTTACGGAAACGTTTGGCAAAACAGCAGCGACAAGCGAAATTAAAAATGGTTAGGCTTCTTTGATGTTTTAATTTGTTTAAGATCTCATCGAATCAAAGGTTTTCAAGACCGCTTATGTGTCTCCTTCTTCCATTGCACCAAGAAGTAGATTTGAACCTTACACAGACTCTACTTGCAAGTGGCGACCGCAGCTGCGCAAGTCACTCTTCGGGACTGCAGTTCACGAATAAAGGAATTTCAGTTACATACCTTAATTGCCCAACGATCAAGCGCGAATTTGCCCTCATAAACGGTCGGTTCGATGATTTACTTGGCAATCTGGACCTCGCACGTCTGGCAGATTGGATTATTTTTGTCCTTCCGGGCGATATAAGGAAGGTCGATCCCAGCTCATACACCGAATTACTGAGCGCCTTGTATGCTCAGGGACTGCCATCATCTGTTTTCTGTGTTATGTCAAATATTTCTGACACCAGGGAACTGTTGGCTCAGCTACAGGTAATCGAATTATTGCTCATATTCTCCTGCGCAATACTGTGCCACAGTAAGTGTATGAGCATATTTTCCTCTCACAATTCCACACATAAGACACGTTTTGCTTTGTAAGTTTAAGTGCCGTGCATTGAATAACTGGCAGTATGTTTCTGGCAATATCCCACCATTTCGTGCGCAACGATTACTACTCTTCGTTTATAAAACAAGCAGTCGGAGATGTCACCTTTTCATTTCATCCATGCTGCACTTAAGACCTCCCTTACATAACCGTCAATTATTTAGTTGCCATTGTCATACAGCCTTTCGGTCAAGAGCACCAGTAACGGCAATCCTAAGAATTGCTTCCATTCATTATGCAACCAGCAGTTCAGACAGCCTCGTTTTTCAACTGAGTCCTATTGTTGAGAATAATTCCCAGTTTAAGTACTTTGCGTACCGAGTACTTTTGTTTGAATAATAACTTAGGATAGCCTCATCTCCAGTAAATCGTCCTCTTTAAGAATTGCTACATTGTAATATATTCTTTTTCGCTTTGTGATATATCCGAACCAGTTACCGTCTTGACAAAGCAACACAGTCTTATACTCATATATTCTGTCGAATTTTTCCTCATGGTTGCGATAGTGATCTTGCAACTTTTATTAATTCTACTGTAGATGAAATTCACTGTAAATGAAGGAAAAATTCGGGTGCTCAACTCAACAGCTGATGCCTTTAGCCTTCTTCGTTACCTGGCTCTATCACAAAAGAAGCCAGCTTTTTGTATTGCTGACAACTGCCTAGCTTCCAAGGACGCACTAAAAGTCGGCATCACATCCACTCGTCTCCGTTGTGGTATGCTAGTAGAGGACATATCAACGGAGCCATACGAAGACAACGGTCAGTGTCCTTTGTCATTGTTCCTTGCTTTAAAGAGGTTTGCGGTTTTTACTCCATCATTTCTTGTCAAGGACTCAATGCTCTGTGCAACAGAGCACCGGTCAAAATAGGTGTCTTAATTCAATTTCACCCTCCATTGAACCTTGGAGTATCACCGTTCGAACAATTGTTGTCCACTTCTAACTTCTGCGACCGTATGCATTTTTTGCAAGCTACATTGCTCTGATAAATATCGGTAACATGACGTTTACGTAAAGCTTTCTTAGCATTGCCCGTGTTTTCCATGTATGTCCTGTTTAATCTTTCGTGTTATTCCTCTTCATTAATAGTATGTGCCAATTTTTTTAGAAAAATTTCCATTTCAGCATACAATTCTTAGATAATTTCTCCTTCACCTTGATCTAGGCCGCATTCCAAATACTATACGCAACTTTATCGCCGCTTCTTCTCTTTATAGCGTTCGCATAACCATGGCTAATTTCAGAGTGGCTCTACGGCCGATGCCTATTCTGACCACTGACTAGCCTGTTTCGTCATCCACTTCTCTCCAAGTTAGAACTAATCTGCTACCTCTTCTATCGCCTTATCTCATTTTTTAATGACAAGTACTGCCAAGAATACACGTTCGCTCTACATATACGGCTTTGTGGAGGGCATGCAAATTGAAAGCGGAGGAAGGGCGTTAATTTGTGGTGTTGTCCCAAGACAATCAAACACAACGTCTGACGAGCACGTGGACAATTCATCGGCCATCTTTTTCGCGTTTATTGGACCAAGAGACACGAAGATAGGACATTTGTTTA